GATAGATATAGATATAGATATAGATAGATATAGATATAGATATAGATAGATATAGATATAGATATAGATATATAGATATATATTCATTGTGATATAGTCACATCTAGTTCTTCACGCCATTTGGATGAGAAACTGGAAAAAATTATATGTAATTTTATCTGTGGTTCTTTGTGGAAGAAACAAACTGAAATTAGAAATAGTTTAAATTATAATTGTATCAGATAATAAGATCAGGTTAATTACACATATTTGATGATGAACATGATATCATGTTTGTAGTTACTGTGGCAATGTATATTTATTGAAGATTAATGTAACTGTAATGTGCAATACATTTGTTTCAATGGGATAAATTAAATATAGTTTTGCATTCAAAATAGTGGGACCAATTAGTGATTAATATTATTGGATTGCATTCCTTTAGGTCTGTTTACTTTTTTTGTTAATAAAAGGCAATGCAAGTTCCTAATAAGTAACTAAGAACTAATAGTGAATGACAATTTTTAATATTAGCATGTTGTAATAAAAAACAAAATAGTCTTAGCATCTTAAAAACTTTCTCATGGTATAAGCTTAAAAACAATTGTACCGTGTTTCCCTTAAAATAAGACGGGGTCTTATTTTCTTTTGACCCTCCGAAATAAGCCCTTGGCCTTATTTTCAGGGAAGTTTTGTTATTTTTGAGGTGCAGGAGGCAATGAGCATGGTCACCTCATTGCTGCTGTGCTGCAATATTTTCAGGGAAGGCTTATTTTTGGGGGAGGGCTTATTTTAGTACATGCGCTCAAAAGCCCAATTGGGCTTATTATCTGGGGAGGTCTTATTTTTGAGGAAACAGGGTAGTTCATAATAATTTATAACTGGTCAGAACAAATGAGATTCCATCAACATTTTAGTGCACAATTTAAAAGGGTTTAACCATATTTAGTCATTCTGGAGTACCAGAATTATTCCCATTAATATATAATAGTCTTCCATTTAGTACATTTTTTTCAACAACTTATTTAACTTACAAAATATTGGAAGTCTACATAGATTTTTAAAATTGGTACTTTGGCCAATTGGTCAGAGGACAAGTTCTGGAAAAGGCACCAAAGATCCTTCTCTTAACATAATTTGGAAAGGTAATAATATGATGAATTCCTCAGCATAAGTGCCTGGCTGCTTATTAATTCAAATAGCTGAAACTCTCTGGTGGCCCAGGATCAAAACAATTAAAGAATATTGTTAATTCCTTAAAAAAAATGTTTCTACATGAGTGCAGATGGATGTAATGCTTGTTAATATACTTCTGCTTTTTAGCTTGCAACTGCCACGGGAAAGCAGAAGAATGTTACTATGATCAGACGGTGGCAGACAGAAAGCAGAGTTTGAATATCCATGGAGAATATCTTGGAGGCGGAGTATGCATTAACTGTACCCAGAACACTGCAGGCTTCAATTGTGAAACATGCATTGACGGATTCTTCAGGCCGAAAGGGGTAAAGGATCCATAATTCTGGTTTCTGAATTCCAAGTCATCATTTTAGATGCTACCATATTAAATGAAAAAAATAACAACACTGCACTCTGAACTGCAGTTATTCTAGTCCAGAGGTAGATTTCAAATCCTGCCACTATCGGTTTGCTCACGCATGCAAAGAAGCATCCAGATGGGTGGGTAGAACCTCCCGCCCCTGCCACAACCAGTTTGGCCAATCCGGGCTGAACCAGGAGCAACCCACCTCTGTTCTAGTCTCTCTAGCCTACTAGTTCCTTTTCAAAGTGGGAAAACCTAAAGGAAAAGTTGCACAGGAATAAAAGGAACTTGTGTTGAAATGAAGGAACTTAATGAAAGAACAAGAACCCTCTGCTATTATTTTTGTTTGCATGGATGAAGATGTTTAAACCTAATATTTGGTCAGTAAATCTATGTTACATTATTGCAACCATTAATAGGAAAGTAATCATGAAATCTTTCCAGCTTTGCAATGAAGGGAAGGATAGTGCTTGAGCTTCCAAATTAGGTTAAGTAATATGATCAGGAGGACCAGTAAATCACTTAATTGCAGGAGTGGGTTGTTGCTGGCATTATGCTGGTTTGCTGCACTCATGCACGTGCCATGCGTTGCTTGCACATGCGCAGTTGCCTGTAAATTGTTCTGCACATGCACAGAACATTATAAAATGCCTTAAAAACATGACGGCAACAGCATGGGCAACCGGAGAACCAGTTTGGGGGCTGGGCCATCCTGCTGTCCCTACTGGTTCAGCGACCCAGACCCAATTTCCACTACCGGTTCGCCCGAACCAGTGTGAAGTGGTAGCAACCCACCTCAGCTTCATTGCTTTGATTTTGCTTCCATAGGTTCATCCAAAGGATCACCAACCATGCCAGTCATGTCAGTGTTATTCTGTGGGCTCTTTAGATGGCACTTGTGTCAAGGATGAAAAGCGAGCTACAGGAGGTGAGATGCTTGACTGATACAAAACTTTATGTCCCACATCTTCCAAACTAATGTTAAGTAGTAGCTTCTTTTCAGTAAGCTACTTCTCTGATAAACATCATCTTGCAAGAGGCCTTTTGAAATCTGGTTGCTTCTGTTCCTGCAGAGCTTCCCCTCAGAGACCCAAACTGTTGTCTCTCATGTTTTCTTTCGGTATTGCTATGTTGTGACATTTGCAAATGAAGGCGGGAATTTTTCCTCCCAATGGACTTTTAATTTTTCTTCTTTTCTGTATCTTATCTTTTTCTCTCTTTTTTTGGAAAGTCATTGTTGTGAACCTCTATGAAAACATAAAAATATATATTTTCCCTGGTGTGCAGTCCACAATGGTCTTTTAAAAATAGCTGTACATCTGAACTATACATTTACATCATTCTAAAATATTTTTTTAATCATTTTGCTAAGAGCAAGGTTTTTTTCTCTTGAGATGGTAATTAGACCTAATTCAAATCCCCAATATATTTTCTCCATTTTTATTTGCACTTGAAAACCAAAATAAGACCATTTGTGAAATGACACATTATGAACTATGTAAAATTGCAATGTAGTCTTAGTAATATCTAAGGGCAGTTTCTGATAGCCAAATAAAGTTTGTACAACAGTTTATAATAATTTTTTAGCATTGGTTGTTGCTAAGATTAGATTAGATTAGATGAAATGAGATAAAATGAGATTAGATGAGAATGCTACAAACCTCACAACAATTTTTTCCCTATAAGGCAGATTGAATGGAATAGTATTAATTCTATTATCTTTTTGAGATTATCACAATGGTGTATATATAAAAACATTTTTTAAAAGATACACCAAAGATTTACAAGTTAAAAGTCCAACAGAAGCAAGAATCTGATAAATACTGTATATTGCATAAAAGTTTTTTTTCAACACATAAAGTCAATGTCCTTCTGCCGGGGCGGGGGGGGGGATTTTTAAGGGAGAATAAAACATGAAGTTTAGTAACTAATAAAAACCCATTTACCTATTTGCAAAAACCCTTTCTTTATTAAAGTAAGGGAAAGTTAAATATTCTACTATCCACCAAATAAACTAGAAGAAACAATACTATACCATCTAATAATGAATCAATCTTACAAACTGCTTAAATGAAGTAAGGATAAATGTTAGTTGCTCATAATATATACCCCCTAAACCTAAAACAACACCAAGATCCCAATTCTACTGAATCTAGGTAACCTGGAAAAAGTTAGTCCTTATTTGAAGGAAGGGTTAGAAAATGCATTCATTTTGTTAATAGATGTTCCTGACATATTTGCAGGTCAATATGATTGCATATTAGGTGTATTGAAATTGACTGTGTTAGTGCTCACAGTTTTCAGTAAGGAAAAGCGTGTATTTGAAGTAAAATATATAAAAAATATATCTCTGAATTATTACCCCAAGGGGAATAAGAACACTTTGTTCTTTGAGGATAATGGGATGGGATGATACTGAGTGGCTTTTTGTCAACTTAAAGCTTATACCTCATGCCTTTCTGTGCATTAATGCAAAGGATTGTGGGATGTAGTTATAATGGCAGCAAAGTACTCTAGGATCATGATATGTTCTGTATCAGTCCCATTATCACTGCAATAAAGAAAGGATTCCATTATCATCTTTGCAGAAGTTTTTTTTATATAAAATCAGAATCCATAGACTGGCGAGGACCTAGTTTTATAGATAAACACAGGAATTTAGATGACATAGGTATTTTCCCTGGAAAAACTTTGATCTTGCACTTATACTAATCATTTACTATATGTCTTTCACTGCCTCGATTTCCCACTGCCCTCCACCCTGCCAATAAAGTAAACACTATTTTTGTGTTGATAAAGGTTTATATTGCTGTTAACAAGCAACTGACATGAATACACTGCACTAAAGGAAAAATAAATCAAAATTCAGGCATGTTCATGTACATGTTTAAAGTTATAACATGGTGGCATTGACCCAGTTCTTCCAAGATGTAGGAAGGTACCTTTAACTGCTTTTTTTTTTTTTTGAAAGGAAAAGATCCAGGTAGAGCACGCTACATTTGATCTGACACAAAATGTGAACAAGCAGTATGGCAACCAGAGAACATTGCCTCACAATGCATATTGCATGCACAATGCCTATAATGGGAGCTGGCAATCTTAAGCACTCAAAGAGGCACAAAGGTCCTAACTGGAAGCTCCCCCCTTCAATTCTGGAGCCGACTAGAAATCTGGTTCCCCCACCATAGAGTCTCCTCCTAGCGCTGCATCCTTTTTCTTCTACCTGTGCTAACCGAAAGCCCTATCAATTGTGGAGCTGACTGGAAAACCTGCCCCTTGCCATAGTCTCTCCTCCTGGTACACTGTACTTCCCCTCCCCCCAAACCAGAAGCTCCTCTCAAAACTGTGGCGCCAACCTGTGACAGGGAGCAGCAGAGGGATGAAAGAGCCACATGTGGCTCCTGAGCCACAGGTTGCCGACCTCTGGCCTATAAAATTACATATGGCAGAAACCATACTTATAAGCTGCTTGCATTGTCCAACAGGGTAGAAAAAGGCAATGATGTCACCATTGTTTCTAACATTTCCTACATCAGTAACTGTTTCTCTTTATTATCAGCATCATTGCTGGAGCCTAGCGCTCCTTTTATTAACTAAACTTTTATTAACCTGCCAAATGGCATTAATTCAATTATTTTTATTGCCGGTTATCAACATTGTTTTTTGAGGAGGTTCCCCCTACCCATTAAATATTAATGGAAATGAATCTGATTTTGATCATGATTTTCCACACTTAGATAACTTTCCCAGTTAGAACTCATTTAGTTTTCAGTTTCCACTGCATTAAAAAAACTGAGCTTGTTGCTGGCTTGATTGTGCTGCAGGTATGCATCCTGGATCCTGTCACTGTAAACCAGGTTTTGGAGGAGACAGGTGTGATCGGTGTGCATTGGGCTACAAAAATTTTCCTTACTGTGTGCCCTGCAATTGTTCTCTGAAAGGCAGCTTGAATGACGACCCTTGTGAAGGACCTTGCAGGTGCAAGGTATGGATTTCAATTTATTTTCTTTTTTTCAATGTTTAGTGAGTATAAACTCTTCATCTGCAACATATCCTCTTCATTGTAAATACTTCTGGAGGTGCCGCGGTATCAAAATGCCATGACACTGCCCCTTGGAGTTGTTATGATGTGGATTTGATCTTTTAATGTGAAGTAACTACTTAGCAAGTTATTCTTGTTAAAGCAGATTTCTTTTCCAAATAATGGCTTTATGTAAAACAGATAACACTCCAGAGCTTATATAACATCATTGTTTTTCAATATTTCATTTGTTGATGATCATCTAAATACTGATAGAGAAACCTGGAACGGAAAAAAACCTCTTCCAAATAGCCTCTTCATCTCTGTCCTTCAGGCCTTGAAGAACTTCCCCTAAACATTGGGCTAGTGAGAGCCTGAAGCTCAGGAAATATGAATGCCAATGTATGCGGGAGGTTAATCTAGGGCACTTGGAATTGTTTTTCTTTGATATTTTACTAATTAATTAATGTTATATTTACATAACTACCCATCTCAGAAATATGTCTCTAAGTGCTACACAGTGAAACATAAGCCCTACAGTGAACCATATTAAAACATAGCATAATTTAATGACAACCCAGCAAACCAATATGAATATTTTTTAAAAGAGTAGGAGACAGAATCTTTGGTAGATAGCCATCTCATCAACTCACCTTTCCTTTGAGATCCTCAAGCCTGCTTTACTGTTGTTTTTCATGGCTATTTTTGTGAGCTGCCCAAGCTTATTATATATAAGATTTGTGCCATATAAGTTTCTTAAATAATAAATGAATACATAAATAATGTTTGATTCGCATCAGGGAGACTCAGGTTTGTGTCTATGTATTCTATAGAAACATTCTCTTTCATTGGGTTGTTGACAGGATGAAATGAAGAGAAATTATTTTTTAAGTTGCTTTGAGCTCTTGGAGAAAAGACAGGATATAGATGGGCAACATTATCATGAGCACAAAACAGTATGAATACAAATGGTCTTGTATGGACCATGGTTAACTTAAACCACTAGCAAAAGCCTTTAACGCATTTCTACTTAGTGCCTTTCTAGGATGCTAGAACTATGATGTATTTTACAAATAGGGAAATAATTGCAAAAGATAAAATCACATATTAGTTCAGCTAGCAACCATTGTTGAATCTGAATAGCTTGGAAATTTGGCTACATGGGGTGTTATTAGCTGCCATTATATATCTTTGTAATAAGGGCAATATAAAGAACATAGGCAGGTGTTTTTGTACAGATGCTCATAATTTCCCCTTGAAATAAAAAAATGTGGGTTAATTCTTTTTCAGGAAATATACAATATAAGCATACTTTCCAACATTGCACCTCTTTGGAAGTTAAGATGCCCCAGAATGTGGTGGGTTTCCAAACTTTTTACTACCAGTTCACTTTCACACTCTTGTGTGTGATGTTTCTGCGTGTGCACAGAAGTGCCTGGGCGGGTGGGCAGAATCTCCCGCTACTGCTACTACCAGTTCAGCCGAACCGGGAGCAACCCACCTCTGCCCCAGAAGATATTCCAGGGTTTACTACTGATGATGATGATGATGATGATTCATTTTCTCTATCTGAGGTTAAAGAAAGGCTCTAACTCTAATTTCAATTGGGAGAATTAATTATTATGCTTTTTTGTAGCTCTCAAACCTTGTGTTCAGAGCTTTGTTGTTAAGGGAATCCAGGATTTCCCTCATTTGAGTCCTATTCCCTCAAAGAGGTAGGGCCCGACCCTGCTGGTCTTCTGAAAAGCCATGAAGATTTGGCTGTTCCCAAGCCACTTGGCCCAGGTTGATAGCAATAGCAATAGCACTTAGACTTATGTACTGCTTCTCAGTGCTTTACAGCCTTTGCTAAGCAGTTTAGAGTCAGCATATTGCCCTCAACAATTTGGGTCCTCATTTTACCCATCTCAAAAAGATGGAAGGCTGAGTCAACCTTGAGCCTGGTGAGATTAGAACTGCAAAATTGCAGGCAGCTGGCAGTAAACAGAAGTAGCCTGCAGTACTGCTCTAACCATTCTGCCACTGGCTCAAGGTTGTGGCTCACCATGACTCACCATGCCATAGTCGGAAATGCATGCAGGTGTCTCTGTTTCTAGTGAGATTTCTTTTTTTACGAGTCTCAATGTTATTTTCTTACGTTATATATTCTGATTTTAGGTGCTTTTTCTCTATTCACCTTCCACAATTTCTCTGGTAGGTGGGTGGCCCAATAAATAATTGAAATACACAAGTAAGCAAGGATGAGACAAGAGCTTTGAATAAAAATAGAGTTGTTCTGTCTCAGACATATCTTTTTTCTTTATATTAAGCACAAATAAGCAGCATGAGAACAGATCAACTTCACACAAATGAAACTTGGTTGCTTGGTTGGTTCTTGGTTTATTGGATTTATATGCTATCTCAAGGAGGCTTCTACAATGATTTCTCATAATTACTGGTGAACCTTGTGTTCTGTTGTGTTTGACAAAAGGTTCTGGATGCAATAAATAGGGCAATAGCTCAGTTAAGTAAACTTCTTTATTAAGCAACAGAGAACTACAACTTTAACACCAGAGAAATGTGAAGCGCAATTCATGGTTGACAGCTCCTTTAAATATCCCACTGTCAACTGCTATTGCCCAATCAACAACAAACATTCCTCCCTCCAAAACGGCAACCAATCAACATCTTAATACTCAACATGTTCATTCTTTACTTCCAACCCAGGAATATTTTTTTATTTGTTTCTTGAAGTTGGCTGTGTCTCTTTTAATTTAAAACAAAGTGGCACTGTTTATTGATACCTCTTTTAATAAGGGATCTGTCAAAAGGATTAGAAAGTTATAATAATATATACCATCTGCCCTGATACTCCCCTTTCCTCATTTTATTTAAAATTATTTTCCCCCACTTTCCTCAGTTGCTTTTCTTTTATGAGAAATAGTACAGTTCAGAAATTACTTTTAGGTTCGCTTCGGTACATTTATCCAATTCTTTAGCTGGAAGGCAAGTGAATTATTTTTGATAGATGTGTATCAGTAGAGAATCACAATGCTGGCTGTAGCTGGAGAATCATGATTTCCGTAAAAGGGTCAGCCTTCACTGGCCTGCAGTCAACTATATTTGGCATCCATACTGCAGCAATTATAATAATGTGCACAGTATTTTTGATGAACATCTTTCTAAAATAATCCTTTCTTGGCTGAATTGGAGGGTAGAGTGACATTATGGCGTAAAAACCATGATCCAGATTGAGACCAGAGCGAGAAGAAGGAGTTATAGCCCATGGTAAATCCCTGTGCTTATTTTGCACTGGGGGGGGGGGACTGTGCTAGCATCCAACTATCTCTTTAAAGAAATATATATATTTAACCCTTTGCATTTCAGTTCAAGCAACATATATAAAAACAGGTTGCCATAGCGAAGCTAGACAGTAGAGTATTATGGTCATATTTTTTTTTCCTTTTTAAAAACATTTGCAGATTGTAGAATAAGGAATGTATTATTGGAAATGGCCTGCAATTGTTTTTCACAGAAATCAAATGAAAGCAGAGCCCACACATTTTTTGGAAATGAAATAAATCAATGCCGCAGGATGGTTCCTCCACTGTGTATACAGCTTTCCACTGCTTGGTGCCAAAGGTTTTGGCTGAGCATTCTTAACACACCTGGAAAAACACTATGTTGTAGGTTACTGCTGTAGTTTATGTACACTACAAGGAACTAGATGTGTGACTTCGTGCTTTACAATAAATTTAGCTCTATCCAAATCAAATATCCCTATGTTGGTCATAATGTTGAATATGGTGGTACTGATCTCCTGTTGCACTTAGACCAATCAGAAAGTAGTTAGAAAATGGTAACTGGACCGCTATGTGTCCTCTGAGATGAAATTTAGCATCTTTTATATGTTGTCTATTGACAGAAATATATCATTAGATACTGTATATGCATATCGCATTAAGCAAGGCAAAAGCAACAAGAGGCAGGTAGATTTACTTCTCCTGCATGACAGAAAATCTAATATTCTCCTGTGAATTCCTAGGTCTATGTTGAAGGAAAGAACTGCGATCGCTGTAAAGCCGGCTTCTTTAACTTGCAGCAAGACAACCCCCAGGGCTGTGAAGCATGTTTCTGCTCAGGAATAACAAAGGACTGTACAGATTCTCACTGGACTTACAGCATGGTAAGGAAAAGCATAGAAATGCATACATCCAGCAAGCGTATCTTTTATTTTAAAAAAAATCTTAAAATAAAACTCACTCTGTGGACTTTTTCTTTAACATGCATATTTTCTCTCCTCAGAGTAAACAACATGATTTTTTCTAGATGAAAGCCAAATTTTCTAAATTTTCACACTGGAGAGGTATTCCATTATCCATGCCAAAGTGAAAAATGCAAACACGATTTCCTCAGGGAAATTTAGTTTTTGGCTGTAAAAATATGTGAAGGAGATGGAAATTATATGATTTTTCAAACAGACAGATAAAATATATACGGATTGATCTGTATTCTGCTCCTACAATTGAACTTCCACCCTGATCTGGAAAATTCCTTAATCCTCCAGATCTAATTTGGTGATGCACAGGATGCGGTGGGAGCAAAAAACATCTGTAGTTAATCTTACAGTTCATAGATGTATAACACACAGCCTAGCCACCTATCGTTGTGCCTCAGACACAAACTATACCACTGGGAAGCCCTTGTCTGCTTTTCCTTGCTGACCAGTTTATCCCCCACCTTCAGGAGTGTGAGGAAAATACTACCAATACACCTGAGATCACCAGTACGCTCCCTAATTTCACTTACGTGCCCAGATGGATGTTTACATGGATGTTTTTGAGATTGCTTTAAGTTGACGTATCCATAGATGAGTGATGTTTCTGGACATTTATGGTAGCATGCATAATAGAATATGCATACTAGTGAAGATGAAGGTGAACAGAGTTTATGTTTATCTGCTGATGCATTTGTAAATACCATACTTTTTGGAGTATAAAACACACCCGAGTATAAGACGCAGCAAGGTTTTGAAGAGGAAAATTTTAAAAAAGGTTTTGCACTCTGCAAACCTCCCAAAAATGGCCCATTTTTTGTGAAAACGGGCTTGTTTTCCCCCCAAAAAAGGCATGAATAGCCTTTAGGAAGCTTGCAGAGTGCTTGGGGGGGGGGCAAAAACGAGCAAAATATGGCACATTTTTTTGTGAAAACGGGCCCATTTTTCCTTAAAAGGGGGCATGGATAACCTTTAGGAAGTTTATAGAGTGCTCCTGGCGGCTGGGGGGCAGAATTGAGCAAAAACCAGGCAGTTTTTTCTCATTTCTGCCCTCCCCAGCCCCCAGGAGCTCTTTAAAAGCTTCCTAGAGGCTCTGCACGGCCATTTTGGTGAAGGGGCAGGGTTTCGGGAGGCAAAAAAGCCCTTCCCCAAAATATTGCAACACAGCAGCAGCCATGAGGTGACCACGCTCGCCACCTCCTGCACCTCAAAAATAATAAGACCTTCCCAAAAATAAGGCCAAGTACTTATTTCGGGGGTCAAAAGAAAATAAGATCCTGTCTTATTTTGGGGGAAATACCGTATGCATTCAAATCCTAATACCTGCCCATTGTCTCACTAACACTAAAATACAAAAGGAATAACCACTCTTAATCTTGGTATTAGATTCATAATTTACATGCTCAATATTTAACTATGAGATTTGCCAATAACCTCTGCGTATTTCACTGGAATAAAAATGAGATGAATTATTTTTTTAAAGGAAAATATTAAGAAGTCTTATAGAAGGAAAGAAACGGTGATGAGCACTGTGCCCTAGAGTTGACTATGACTGAACAGGGAAATCTTTACTTTTACCTTTTTACTCCTATGCAACCCAGGCCAGAAATAAATAGATTTTTTTCTCCACCTGTTATATTTGCTGGAAAGGGTACTGCCAGATAAGTGTTGAATCCTTACCTGAAGAAAATAAAGAAATAAATGCTCCTCATCATTGGCAGATTGTATCCTTTCAACATATAATCAGGAAAATATCAATTTAGCTACAGTTTATCTGAATACATGGGAACAGACAAGGAAGTAGTGAACCTTTCTGCATCCAGTCTTTAGTAACACTGAGGTATGGATATTATAGGAAGGTAGAGACTTTAAATCTGATCTGCCTAACAGAATATATGACATTTTGTATCGTAATGAAATTATTCCGTGTTACCACACATGCTGAGACACTTTTTGCATATCTGAAAATTCAGTAACAACTGTGAACAGTGATTTAGAAACAAGTGAGCCAGTAAAGCTAGTTATTCAAGAAAGGTGAATCCAGGATTATTGCTAAGGCTGAAACTGAACTTCTGAACATGACTTGGTAAACATTCTTATTTTATTTTATTCATAAATAAAGCATTAGTGTTCTTCCAATGTAACAACTTCTAACCAAAACAAGACTGCATTACAGGTAGTCCTCAACTTAAAACAGTTGATGAAGTGACTCTTGAAAGTTACAATGGCACTGAAAAAAGTGACTTATGTCTGTTTTTCACCCAATCATTGCAGTATCCCCATGGTCCTGTGATCAAAATTCAGATACTTGGCAACCGACTCATTTTTATGATGGTTGCAGTGTTCTGGGGTCATGTGATCCCCATTTATGACCTTCATGCAAAGTCAGTGGGAAAGCCAGAGGCACTAAACAACCATGTTATTAAATTAACAACAGCAGTGATTCACTTAACAAAGGTGGCAAGAAAACTTGCAAAATGAGGGAAAATTCACTTAACCAATGTCTCATTTAGCAACAAATGTTGGACTCAGTTATGGTCATAAGTCAAGGATTACCTTTGAAGCGTATTAAATTCATAACATAAGCAAGGAAATCATGCAAATACCCCTTAAAAGCTTTTCAAAATACCAGTAATGTAAAATATTACTTCTTATTACTTATACTGCCTCTGCCCACTTAATTAAGCCCACTACTAGCACTCTTCTGGGCTCAATTCCTTATAGGCTTATAAGTAATATTTCACCATGATATTGCAAGCGATTTGTAAATTCAGGAGATAAATAATTTGATTCAATTTGGGCTTGACATCTTATCCTCAAGCATTTCATTAATTAAGAGTGCTCTGATTGAGTTGAGCTTGGGAAAAATGCTTGGTTTAGATATGTTTTTGTTTAGTGTATACTCATAACAAAATGAATGTATCAAAGTTGCTTTTTCAACAGGCAACTGGATGTTTGGGGTTTTTTTCCTTTGAAAACATTTTACTTCTCATCCAATAAGCTTCTTCAGTTCTAGCTTATTTTCTTTTTTTGTGAGGAGCCAGCTTCTTTCCAATTAGAAATGCTATCAGTGTAAAGATATAGACCCATTGTCTCCTGGTTTTTTTTCTTTTCAGTTCCATCTCAATCAGTTATAAAAGTTGGGGGAAGTGAGCTAGGAGCTCAGCCAGCCCCCTCATCTTCCCAATGATGTCAACCAAGGTGCGAGCAAGATAAATACAGGACAAAAAAGTTTAAGACTAAAAAAAATTCCCAGAATTTCAAAACAGGGTTTTATGATTGGAGAAGACATGTACAGATGTTCTTTTCCTTTGAAGGAAGCATTAGTAGTTGCCTTCAAGAAAAGCCTTGTTGTATGACATATGTTGGGTTTTAATACCCTGTTCTTGGTGCATCATTATCTTCTCTCATTTCCAGTTACAGGGTGATTTCATTATTATTCTTTCTTTCCTTGCTCACACAGTTTCCATTCCTACCCCTAACCTTGTCTGGTTTTGATAGAGGTTCTTGTTAAAGATTCTTGCTAAAATAATTGTCAGGCAAATCCTTATTCTGTATTAATAGGATAATGTTTCCTTTTTCCTATTCCGTGCATGATCACAGTCCTATTCCTTTTTTAAGTTTTTTTTATTTTTAATTTTCAAAACAAACACAACACATAAAATCTTCCTTTTTTACATACTGTAGAAAGTGTATTAGTTGGTTACAAAAGACTTTCGTGCATCTCTTCCACAGTCATCAAGCATAATTCATATTAACTCAAGTATTTTAACTCAGATATTTATACATGTTACCGTCATCATACCTCAATTTTCATTTGACTATAATTGCAGTCCTATTCTTGTTGCGTAGAGTTTGGCTAATTTTTTCATAAAGAAGTGCATCTAATATGAACATTCTTTTCAATGTATTCAATGCAACTTTAATCTCATTACAAGTCTGGAGTGTATAAAATTATAATCAGTCAAAATGCCTCTTTTCCTATTCGCCTTTTTAATTTTTCATCTTCCTCAAATATGAAGAGAAAAACCCAGTGAGCCACTGAAAGTCATAAGAATGAAACATTCTACTAAACATTTCTTTAGGTTGCCAGGTTCATGTTAACCATGGAATTTTAAATATATATAGTATGACCTTATCATATTCTTCTCAAGAAGCTTTTCTCCTTATTTCATTGATGTCTATTCCAGAAGATGTGTTCATTTAATACTACCAACATAAACTTGTGTTCCTCTTTTTGCCTAAGTATGGGAAATTAGTTAATTATTTTGCCATGGTTTTCTCAAGGAGAACTATATTAAACCCTTCTCTCAATATTAAATGAGAAACTATTAAGGGCCAGTTTTGTGTAGAGATAAAGTGCTGGATTAGACATCAGGGCCATTTCTTAGGACATGTGAAGTGTTGCTCTGTCAGCTCCAGCACGCTGGCCAGCTGATTTCAGCCTTCATTTTCGGCCTTTTTTCACCCTCCAGAGGCTTCCCTGAATATGCCAAAGAATAAAATAATACTGTACATAATTTTTGTAAATATATTTAATAAATCTAAATGTAAATAAATGTATTATATTTGTAAATTGTAGTTATGTTGAAATAAAAAAATATATTACAATACTATTTTTGCGTTGTATGAACATTTTTGTTGCTCCATAAAAAAAATTTAATCAAGCCCCCAGTCAATGGTGTCCCTCTTTACCAATCTGAAAATCTGGTCACCTTATCCAAAGGCTTCTGGAGGCTTCGGGTCCACCATGCCATCGCGTGCCAAAAGCGGGGGGAAGGGGTTCATGCATGCATGGGAGGATGGCACATCCGTGCACGACCCCCTCTCCTGCGGTCCCACTTTTGGCATGCGATGGCAAAAATGTTAGCCAGCACCAGTGGTGGGTTCCGGATCCTGTTCAAACCCGGTGGCGTCCACATGGATGCATGCTGTGAGTGTACACACGTGTGCAGCGCATGCCTGCATCTTAGCACCTCTGCGAGGTTCCGGAATGCTCCAGCTGCTCAGCGGACTATCACGCAGGCACCGTATGCATCGTGCGCAGAAATGTCGAAGACTTAAAAGACTGGTAAGGAGTTCAGGCGGGCAGGTGGGCCCTCCAGAGCACTGTACCAGAACATTATCCAGTGCTCCGGGCAGGCTCTGGTATGCCCGTACTGGGGCATACCGCCTGCAACCCACCACTGGCCAGCACTGATCTATTCTATTGAGTTCTAGTCTTCTCTAAACATGAACATTGATTGTGCCATATTGGGCCATTCTCTTTCAGTCCATCCCACCAAAGGTTGTTGCAAGGAGATAGGAGGATTTTGTACATTGCCTTGAATTGTGGAAAATAAAAGTAGGATATTATTGCTAATATGAAAGCAAACAAAAGGCAAGAAGCAAAGGGTTTGAGGGTTGAAGGTTCATTCTCCGAGCTTGTGAGTTTTGTTTCTGAACATTTCATTATTAGCAGGAGTGGTATTTGCTTACTTTCCCTACCGGTTTGCAAATGTGAGAATGCGTGCACATGCTCTCGCTTTGCACGCACCTTGTCCATGCATGCACTTGGCCTTCCGCGCATGGGCTTTGGCTTGAAAATGTGCCTAAACAGGACAGCATAGAGTCAGGGTGGGTGGGTGGCACTCGCAATTTTCACTACTGGTTCAAGTGAACTGCTCCAAACCGGCTGAATACCACCTCTGATTGTCAGCTAGGTAACATCTTCAGCAGAGTTCAGGGGATGGAGTTTTAACAGAGTTTTAAAAAGGATTTGAAAAATAACCTGAAGGAAGGTTGTGTTAACTAGTATTTTTCTTTGTTACCATAGATTATGGACATGAATGGCTGGCATTTGACTGATGAATGGGGCCTTGCTAGAATTACTCCTCAGCAGGACAATTTTGATGGACCTCAGCAACTGAGCATCAGTAACACAGTTGCAAGAACTGTTCTGCAGCCTATTTATTACTGGAGTGCACCCAGTCCTTATTTGGGCAACAAAGTAAGTATTGATCTTTGCCTGAGAGCTAATTTGATGTATCATTAATGATTTTTTTTTAAAAAAAAAATCA